ATCATACATTGTGGAAGTGAGAGGTAGGTACATTACCGATGACCCCACTATTCGTCAACATTTTGTCAAAACAAAGAATATAAAGATGAACAAGGTAGACCCTAGCAGCACCATTGAGTCATTGAACTTTATAAAAATAATAATAAAGGAGATTCAGAAAAGAGGGTAGAAATTGATCAGAGAAGACTGCATGTGTGCTCAGATACTTGCGAAACTTGTTCGGATAAGAGTACAAACTCCATTGATCTCTACTCCCAAGGTAAAGCCTACACTTTTATTTTATACAAGAAATGAGGTTAGTATAGGGATGAGTCAAGCTGGTATTCGCTGAGTTGCTGATAGAATGGATTTGGTTGCTAGACTAGGATTTGGTATATAAAGTTTCTCTAAAATTGCTTCTTGTTGATGTTGTTGCAACATAGAAAGGTGATAATGATGAGTTAGAGATTTTGTGAGTCCCCGTCTTTAAAAAACAGTTTTTTCTAGATAGTGATATTATATGCTTGAGGACAAGCAAACGGATAAGTCTGAGGGAGTTGATATGTCATAGATTTTACCTACTTTTACCCATGATATATATATATATATATGATTTTATTCTCTCTTTATCACATTTTGAGTCGTTTTAGAGTCTTTGCAGGATTATATACTTGCTGAATGAACTTGGAGCTTTTGGACCATGTTAGAGCTTTGAAGAAGCTCTCCTGAAAACCAGAAGTCGATGACCACTCACCATCAATCGACGCAGACACACGGCCGTCAATCGACGGTGCAGTCGCCGAGGGTTTTATGATGACTCGAAGAAACTACAATTTTTACTCAGAAGTTCCAACATTTACAAGACAAGTGACTGGTTGCCTTTTACACTATTTATAGGGTTTCTATTAGTTTTGTAACCTAAGTATACTACACACATCTCTTTTACCACAATATATCATTGTTACTCCATTAGATAGAAACCTTGTTTTGGAGACAAAGATTTACTCAACATTCACAAACTAATGCTATGAAATTTGCAATTTAAACTCCTTGTTTTCTTTGCTCTATATTTCATATGCAATTTATTCAGATTTCAATTATGTTCTTTATAACTATGTCTGAGTAATTCAATGATAGATTTAAAGGTTCTTCAACGGTGAACTATGAATTGTTAATTCTGTACTTCTATCTAGGGTTGTTTGATTAGTTTCTCATCAGTTGTTCTTACTACTAGGATTACGATTGATCACCTTAAACCTAGATCTTAGGATTGTTTGAGATAAGCAAAATCTTAGTCAACTGCATGAACTATAATTTATACGAGATAAACTATTAAAAACATATGAGAGTTGATTCCATAGGAAATCTAATAACTAAAAATGTAAAGTAATTAGATATAGTGTAAAAGGTTTTGCTTAAATGTGAATTCATTACATTATGGATATTCTAAAATCAAAATAATAGTTAAACCAAATAATTAATATAAATCCGCGTGTGGAGTGCGGATAGGAAATCTAACTAAAAATGTCAAGCTTTTATAGAGTTTCAAAACACTGTAAGAAGAGCCGTTCGTTATAGTCGTCTGCTGCAGAGAGAATTTTTCCATCGGAAATGTCATATATGCAGTATTATCTAAAGTGTTTTGGGGAGAGCTTTATTGTGGAAACATTATTCGTGGAACTGTTCATCAATATCGCATATATTGAAGATAGTTGATCATCACATAGAAAAGTTAGAGGAGATTATATGAGGATATAATGTGTGTTACTTGTAAAAAACAAAATTAGATACAATGTTAGAATTTTTTGCTTAAATTAATACATGCTATGTATCTTTAACAATGGCCATTAAAGTTAAAAGAAAAAATCTTGATATATAATTTAAGGTGATCAAAATAGTTTTTCATAATTAGTCTATAAATATATATAAAATATGATTATAAATATGTGATTGCTATTTTACCTATTTTAAACCCAAAAACTAGCCTTCTACCAAATTATTTGATAATACAAATTATCGATGATGCCTTATTTATGCGAAAATAACGATACCTTATGCTGACAAAAAAAAATGTTACCTTACTAATTAAGTTCATTAGACGATAACTCCACTATCTACTTTTAACCAGATCAACCATGATAATATCAATAATAGCTAGTAGCATCGTATACATATGGTTTACAAACCAATAGTCGTTTGGCAAAGAAGTAGAATTATATAAGCACTTTCTATTAATTCCATTCTATTTCTGCTGGCATTAGTTCTAACGGCAAAGCTCTGCTGCTCCCTTTAAAACAACAAAACTATTTTAAGAGAAGAAACAAATAGTAAAAGATGGCTAGGAGTTAGAACAATGTGTAAGATGGAAGATAAATCAACACGAGTTTTCCTGAATTAGATTAAGTTGACAGACACGATACTTAAAAAAGATGTAACCAATCATTCTTGCAATGCTCCCTGCCACAGCTATATTTGTATCACATCTTCATTCTTAAGCTAAAACCAAACCCCTTCCAGTCTCAATCTAATATCCTTTCTTTCTTTTTGCTTCTCTTCTCACGAAATAATTGATTCAAAGTTGTAAATTATCCGAGGAGAACCAGAAGTTCGTATACATTCAAAATGTTTGCGGAAGCCGATAGTATTCCTAGAGCAAAATATGGCAATATGATGCATTCTGATCCGAATCTCTCCTCCACAACGACTCACCAAACAGAGGAAGAGTATGGCGTACGCAATAGCAGTGCATCAGCGGTTGGTACAGGCATGTATGATAGAATGAGCTGTGAAGGTTCTCCAATGATGATGTCTCCTTGGAACCAAGCAAATCCATTTGCTCAAACCCAATGGTCTAATGTTGAAGAAAATCTACCTCAGAATGGCCTTATTGGCTCGCTTGTTCGCGAAGAAGGCCATATTTATTCTTTGGCGGCCACAAAAGATCTTCTTTACACTGGTTCCGATAGCAAGAACATACGTGTTTGGAAGAATCTAAAGGAGTTTAGTGCATTTAAATGCAACAGTGGGTTGGTAAAGGCCATTGTGATTTCTGGGGAAAAAATTTTCACAGGTCACCAGGACGGTAAAATTCGCGTTTGGAAAGTATCTCCTAAGAACCAAAGCTTGCACAAACGCTCTGGAACACTACCTACTTTGAAAGATATTTTCAAGGCCTCTCTCAAACCCAGAAACTATGTTGAGGTGAAAAAGAACCGCACCGCACTTTGGATCAAGCATGCCGATGCTATATCTTGTCTGAGCCTAAATGACGAACAAGGGTTGTTGTATTCTGCGTCATGGGATCGAACCATTAAGGTCTGGAGGATTTCTGATTCAAAATGTCTAGAATCAATCCCAGCTCACGATGATGCTGTAAATTCAGTGGTTTCAACAACCGAAGCAATTGTTTTCTCTGGATCAGCAGATGGAACAGTAAAAGCATGGAAGCGTGAACAAAAAGGAAAATACACAAAACACACGCTCATGCAAACATTAACAAAGCAAGAAAGTGCAGTCACTGCTTTGGCTGTAAGTAAGAATGGTGCTGCTGTGTACTTTGGTTCGAGTGATGGGTTGGTGAATTTTTGGGAGAGAGAGAAGCAATTGAACTACGGTGGTGTTTTAAAGGGACACAAGCTTGCTGTTCTTTGCCTCGAAGTTGCCGGCAGTCTTGTCTTTAGTGGATCTGCTGATAAGACCATATGTGTGTGGAAGAGAGATGCAAATATTCATACATGTCTTTCTGTACTAACTGGTCACACAGGTCCGGTAAAATGTTTGGCAGTAGAAGCAGATCGTGAAGTGTCAGAAAATAAGGACAAAAAATGGATTGTATATAGTGGAAGTCTGGATAAGTCGGTAAAAGTCTGGGGAGTTTCAGAATCTTTCATTGACATGAACCAAATCGGTATGATGCACCAGCAACAGCAACAACATGTAATATCGCATTCAGAGCCTTTTATGTCTGAGGGTAGTGTCTCTTCGTCCACTGGTGGAGCCAGCAGTCATCGGAGACATTAATAATCGTTTGTGGTTTACTGCCCAAAGAACAAGCTTGGATGAACTTCGGACGACGTACTCATTTACTTTAATATTATTAACTTTGAATGCAAAAAAAAAAAAGGAAAAGAAAACTAGTTTTATGATGTGTTGTTGTATAACGTGGAGTTAAGTTTGAACATTTTTTATTATAAAGGTTTTTTTTTTGTAATCTTCCTATCTTTGTGATTAAGCCCTGTAACTTCTTCAAACTTGATAATAATAATTACTGTTGTGCACATCTCCTGAATATTTCTTAGCACTTTTAAACTTTAAAAAAAAAAACTGTTATGGTCATGTTATTATATATTTAATCAAAAAATCGAACTTATTTAGTGAATTTGTATATTACATATGAGTTATTCTTGGTTCACCCCTAGGATGAACCTCTAGATTCACCATCCAATAGGATTACATCATTACATATTTGATATATTTTTAAAAAGAAAACAAAATCTTGTCAAATTATATTATGTTTTTAAAAATAAAAATACAAAATAAATAAAAACTAATAATAATTAATAAAAACCAAAAAAAATAATTCTTCTAAATTAATATTTTAACATTAAATCCTAATCTCTAATCCTAAACCCTAAACCCTAGGTAAATCATAAACCTTTGGATAAATTTTATAAAAAAATCTTTAAAAAAATTCTTTTCCTAAAACAATAAACCCTAAACTCTAATCGTAAACCTTAAACCCTTGGGTAAATCATAAACACTAAACCCTAAACTCTAATCCTAAACCCTAAACCCTTGGGTAAATCATAAACACTAAATTTTTATAGATTTATTCAAAGGTTTATGATTGACCTAGGGTTTTAGGGTTTAGGATTAGAGTTTAGAGTTTAGTGTTAAATATTTTCTTAAAAAAAAATCTTTTTCGTTTTTATTAATTTTTTTTTGTATTTTTTATTTTTAAAAACATAATATAACTTAATAAAATTTTGTTTCCTTTTAAAAAAGATATCAAATATGAAATAATGTAATTCTATTGGATGGGTTCACCCTAGGGGTGAACCCAAGAATAAGTCAATACATAATAGGTAAATGCATTGACAAAAAAAAGATAGGTGAATGAGGTTTTGCGAATTCGATTTTACTGAAACTAGTTACTAAAATAGAGTAAGGAAGTTTTGCTAGTGTAAACAGATCTCAAAGCCACTATAAAACATTTTTTATTATAATCTATATATATATACTATATTAAAAGTTCTTAATAAAGTTCTCAGAAGCTATCCACGTAGACAGTTTTAATCAACCAATTAAAGAATCTAAAGTTGCCATATCACCTTAAAGTTGCCATATCACCTCTGCTTGAGACAAAAAGAAATTCAGAAGTTTAACCGATTTCATAAAATCTTAATCCCACAGATTGAGTCGTGATCGATTCAGTNTATACTATATTAAAAGTTCTTAATAAAGTTCTCAGAAGCTATCCACGTAGACAGTTTTAATCAACCAATTAAAGAATCTAAAGTTGCCATATCACCTTAAAGTTGCCATATCACCTCTGCTTGAGACAAAAAGAAATTCAGAAGTTTAACCGATTTCATAAAATCTTAATCCCACAGATTGAGTCGTGATCGATTCAGTTTCACGATTTCATAAAATCTTAATCTTCGCCTTTCTACATCTTCTGGCTCTCTCTCTATCTCAATCACACACGAAAGCTCTCTATCACTAATGGCTGTCAAGAAGGTCCAATCCCCCGTTGAAGATAACAACCGAATAACAACATCCCCACACCGCTGCCACCATCTCACTGGATGGAGATGAGATACCCTTCGCCTATGGTGATGCCTCACCATATGTGTCGCCTCCTTACTCGCCTTATCACCATCCTTATCATTATCACCTTCATCACCGCCATCACCAATCTCATGATCTGAAGGTTGAGAGAGATCAAGCGAGTGAGAGTGGTGTCAGGTGTGGAAGCAAAACCATGATCTTGCGTCTTTTCAGATTTTCCGACAACATCACAAAAAAAAAAATCTCTTTTTTCCGTGTCTCTGTCCCTCTCTCTGCAGACTTTTAAATGGAGCGGTATGGTCGCGCCGGTGAGGAAGGGTCGCGATCGGATCCATCGTTTGAATGGACCTTTCATGGAGGCGAAACCGGAGTCGACGGTAACATAAATGCAGCGCCTTTCGGAGGATTAAAGGATTCTGTATTTTCTTTTAAGTGAGTGTTGTTGTTGTAGCTTCGATGTGGCGTTAGGGTTAAGCGGCGGCGGAGCTGGTGGAGGAGGAGGAGGAGGAGGAGGAGGAGGAGGAGGAGAAACGTATCCGGAGCGACCAATGAGCCTGATTGTATTTATTACTCGCGTACCGGCGTTTGTGGGTACGGGTCAAGATGTTGGTTTAATCACCCACGAGATCGTGGAGCAACGTAAGAAAGTTTCCTAATTTTGTGGTTGTGCTTCTTCGGTTTCAGATCAGTAAGCTCTTGGATTTGGTGTTTAGGTTATTGGAGGTGTGAGAGAGGAGGAGATGGAGCTTTACCGGAGAGATGGGACAACCGGTTTGTCAGGTTTTGTAATAACTCAATTTCTATAACCTGACCTGAGCAATGCAGTTTTGAAAGAAAGATATTGTTTTTTCTTATTTTCTCAGCATTTTATGCGAACGGGAACGTGTAAGTTTTGTGGTTCTTGCAGGTATCATCATCCCAGACAAGGAAGTGTCTTCGTCGCGCCTGTCTCTCTAAGTTACTTGGGATATCCGTTACGTCTGGTTTGTGTTCTATATAACCTCTCTGTTGTTTTATGTTTATTGTTATTCCCACACCTTTTTATTTGTTATGATCTCTTAAAAGCTCCTCTGAAACTAATTACAGGGAGAGAAAGAGTGTTCTTACTACATGAGAACCGGCCAGTGTAAATTCGGTTTAATCTGTAAATTCAATCATCATGTGCCTCAGCAGCACAAGGTCTCTCCTTCACTCTCTCTTTACTTATTTATGTCTTTTCTTATTTACAAAGTATGTGTCTCTAATGTGTTTTGACATTCGCAATAAGTATTCGTAGCTTCTGTTTGAATAAAGTTTGACACTTTGGAAATTGTTTTTTTTTTCTGATGTAATGCATGATTGTACTGAAAGTGTCTATCTTTGGATAAATGCTCTGTCTTTATGTCTGCTTAGCCTTTGTTTAAGTTTTAATTGAAGCTGGGCGATAAGTTTAGGTTTGTTGGATCTTTATCTGGATGGACAGCGACACTTAAGTTCATGTGGATGCCAGTTTCCCAAATGGTTAGAGTCTCGCTTTGTTTCATTCTCACTTTCTTTGAATTTTTTGTCCTAAATACTATATTTGATGTTCTAACTCAATCTTTAGTGGACAAACTTCCGAAACCCAGACAACATAAAAGGCTTATCGCCAACCACAATGGTACTTGCGATGATGGGAAACGGTCTTATGATCCCAGGGGCACTATTTATCCACGATTTGATGTGATAAAAGCTAAGCTTTCTCAACTAAAAGCCTTTAAGCTTAAACTATAGTTCTTTCACACATAGTAACATTGTTCATTAAACTGTAATACAGGTTCATCGGTTCAATATGGGCAACTCTCTGTTATGGATATGGAACATTTTGTGCTTATACATGTAAGAATCCTTTCACACCTCTCTTGAGTACATGAGTTTATGAATAACCCGTGGATTCTCCACCACAGGTTAAACTGCACCAGCAAATCATTCTTTGTTGCGGCCACAATTGGTTTGATCTCATGGATAGGTTCATAACACTCTTACATCATCATCCTTTGTTACTCAAATGTGAAATATTTATTAAAACATTTGTCTGAAAATACTTTGATTATCATATTTGGATATATTTAAATAAAAAACACTCTCTTACATCATCATATTTGGATATATTTAAATAAATAATTTTAAATATATTATATTTTTAATCATTCAAAATACTTAAAAGATTCTAAATTATTAAAAAATTAATATACAAATAAAACTAAAGCAATGTTTTGTAACGTCAAAATAATAAATAAATAAATAATATATTATGTTAATAAAATAGATTTTAGATTTTAAAGACTTCTAATCATGTATTACAAAATTCAAAATTTGTTTATTACAATTAATATTTTACCATTTGGTATATTAAAATAATATTCTAGATCGATATTCAATTGTCAGTTTTCAACTATTACACGTAAAAAATATTATTAAGTAAGTTTTTTTTAAAAGGGGATTTATATTTGAAGTAGGTTATTGGAGTATTTTTTTTCTTTTAGGGAATTTATTCGAGATGAGATTCGATCTTTTAAACTAAGACAATTTATGTTTTATACATAATTATATTTATTTTACATAACTCTATAGTCTCGAACTTGATTCTTCATATTTATTAATTAATTGTGTTACATTTAATACAAACATATTTGACAATAGTATAAATTTCATGGTATATTGAAGATAATTATATAACTAAATAATCTGTTACCACTAATGAATTATATTCAAATACTTACTTTAATATAAAAATATAAAAATCAAATATAAAAAATAGTTAAATATAATTTAATATACAAAAATTTACATATAAATAAAATGAGAAATGTAATAAATTTAAATATATTATCCGTGCGTAGCACGGAGAAAGGATCTAGTATTATTAATAAATAAAACCTGTTAGACGGGGATATAATATTGATTACATATCCGATTTTCTTAAAATTTACCCAAACTCAAATTTCATAGCATTAGTTTCTCGTCAACCAACTAAGTCAATACATTCCGCTANAAATAAAATGAGAAATGTAATAAATTTAAATATATTATCCGTGCGTAGCACGGAGAAAGGATCTAGTATTATTAATAAATAAAACCTGTTAGACGGGGATATAATATTGATTACATATCCGATTTTCTTAAAATTTACCCAAACTCAAATTTCATAGCATTAGTTTCTCGTCAACCAACTAAGTCAATACATTCCGCTAGACCAATCCTAAATCGTTAAGTAGCCAATTCCCATTTTCAACTGATGTTATGAACCCAGTGAGTCTCGATTTTCCGAGACGACGCCTGATGTAAGTGGGTCTCCGATAATCTTATTGAAAGCTTGTAATCTCCATTTTTCGATGAAGCACAAGATGCACATATAGAAAAGAGATCATGGCGAGCCATACCTACAAACGAGTCACGAAAACATGAACTATACCTCCTCACCACTGACGTCACAGACAAGCACGAAACAAAGCAGAACATAGACCCAGAGCTCCAGAGAGCTAAAATGAATCCCAAAACTGAGCTGACTTCCCACCACTGTCGCCAAGAGAGAATATCTGGTTGAAACTATCATAGCTCCCCTTCCAAAAGTCTCAAACTTGCATAGAAGATTCAAACAAACCAGCAAACCAATCTAGCGTAAAATTGGCTGCTAGGAAGTTAGCATAGACCAAGTGTGACACCAAGGCGAGTAAAAACTCTCCCAAGAACCGCCTCGACACTTGATGTCTTTGAGAACCAAAGAACAATAGTCCATGTTGGAAGATCAGTCATCGATGCCACAGAGACAGAGAACAAATGAAACCGATACTAACACTCCAATGAAAGCTACTGCCTTCACAAGTGGAAGTGGCAGAGATGCCGCGAAGACAAGGTCTGATACGTCGAAGCACACCGTGGTGCTACTGAGGAGCCAATAGACGACTCCAGTTGGAACTACCCACACGAGCTTGGACTGAGCCGAGCACCACCTCCTGCTGCATACGTGATATCGCTCAAATTACCCCATAACAACTTTCTCTCTCAAATAAGAGGTCCAGTTCTAGTATTTACGGATCGAATCCACAGGGAGCGTGTGATATGATCATGGATAGCACAAGAGAATGAATGCATGAACCAAAACGTGGACAACGTGTAGCTGAAGATGCAACATTAAAGGATGCTTGGAAACATGAAGAATACAATGGTCAAAAAGGAAGGATTACTATCAGAAATATCTTAATCACCATTCAAGCCATTCCAAGTTCAAGATGATCAACAAATAGGGAAGTAGTTTGTGTGTGCTCTTTTTCCCTACCTTTGGTTTTGTCCCACTAGGTTTTCCGAAGGGAGGTTGTTAATAAGGCCATAAGTTGCTTTCATATCTCTTGTTTGTTGGTCGAAAGTCCAGTAAGAAGTATCTAATTTACCTAAATTATTTAGACGATTCTAAGTTATGTTCTGTATATTTCAAATTTAAAACAGTCTAGCTGCTTATTTCGAGAGGAACCTTTAGACTTAAGCGTTTTTTATTTATTTTTGAGACCTTTTGCATGTACAAGGCATCTCTTTTATATTATGGTCGTGACCTATTGTATCAGTTTGCCATTTTCAATCAAGATTTTGTTTTCTTATTTCTGACACTACAGGAAATGTGAATATTAATAGTGGCCATATTCTGTGAATTTGATATAATAGCGTTTCCTAAAACGATCTGACAAATCCTGTTATCCTTGGTTGAACATTTTTGATAGCAGATCTGTCAGATACTATAGTTAAATAAACACTGATACCAAATGTTTAGTGTTATTAATGTGCCTATTAGTTATTGGAAAATTTATTAAAGATAATTACCAAACAAAACAAAATTAAAACAAATTAAACACTACACCTAAACATAATAACTAAAACATAATTATAATTCATAATTAAATAATTATAAAGTAAATAAAAATTAATTCATAATTAAAAATTAAATTAAATTTATTAATGAAAATCAATATACAAATAATTGGTTTACAATTAATGTCGGTTTATTTATTAACATTGGTTTACACGCAAACCCGATTTCTTAAATTAACCCTATCTAAACCAAATCTATTAAACGAACCAAAACTAAACCTAATCTACGCCGCTGCCTTCCTCCCATCATCGTGTTCTGTCGTCACCTTCCTCCTCCATCTTCGCCCTCTTGCTTTCATCTCTTTTTCTTCTTCTTTCTCGGCTCCATCTCCACCAGCACAGCTTCTTCATATTCGGCTTCCTCCTGTAACAAGAACAAACAAATCAAAAATCAAATTCAAAACACAGAGAGAGAATAATGGCTATTGAATATGGACTGCATCAGACATACCTATCAATGTTGTTACACTACAAGAACAAGAACAACCACCAGCCCCATTATCAATTCCACTACCTCTTCCCCGTCCCTTAAGTCAAATCCTCATTTAATCAAGTTACAATATTGTCAAGAAACACTAATCATTCAAAAATATCAAAGTAAAACAAGAAACATATAACAAACCTGAGATAGGGTTGGTGTGAACTAAGACCATGAATATGCATATGGATAAGAAGAAGCTTTGATAAGAGGATAGATAAAAAATTGGTTGAGACAGAGTCGTTGGCAAAGGTAGAGAACGAGGAGGGGGAGATGAAGATGATGGTGGTAACAGCTGAGGTTATGGTGATGGTGGTTGAGACTGCTTTATTGACCAAGGTAGAGAACGAGGAGATAGGGAGGGCGGCGTCAGAGGTTATGGTGATGGTGGTTGTGATAGATTTTGTTTATGGAGTATTTTTTGTAAGGATGAAGAAGATAGGCAGAAAAAAAGATAGAGATTACAGAAGATAGGAAGAGACACATTTTCAGTTTGTTCATTATTGGCCACTGGATTTAGTTTATTCTATTGGTTTTGGTTAAAAGAAAATGTGATCCTAACACCTCACACTTGCATCTTAGTGGTCACTTTTTGACCAATCAGATTTTTCTATTATTTTATTTTCCTTTCTTCCTTTTTAATACACAATCACAAAATATTTGTAGTAGAGTTTATGAAATAGAGTTATTGTGTAAAGTTTGTGATTTTAAGTTAAAGTTTGAAAAATACTTTTTGAGTTTAAATATAAGATTTGGAGTTAATTTAAAAAAACAATAAGAGACTAAATTTGTGATATATGTTTATAAATAAGGTTACGGTTTATGAAGAATAGCTTATGGCTAAAATTTTAAATTTGAGGTTGAAGTTTGGAAGAGTAAATTTGGAATTTAAGTTTAACTAGAGATTTTTCCGGGATATGCAGTTTTTGCTTGAGTTTTAATTTAATCAAGTTTTTGCACTTATATATAAATATAAATTATGTGTGTATATATATATATATATATATATATATATATTGCAATCAATTTTGGTACAAAATTTAAATGGTTTGAATTTATTCATTATCTTGTGACTAATGAATTTAAAATATGAACTCACAATTTTTTGTTTGTTTATTTATAGGAAATCATATATCGGAGGGTAATTAAGATTGATAAAAGTTATTAAAACTTAATTATGATTTAAAATACATTTTATCTTATTATTAAGGTTTGGTATAAAGCAATAGTAAAACTTACAACTGATTTAAACTTTGTTTTGACTTTAGAATCATTGAGTTCTAATACAAAATAATTTAAATTGAATCAAAAATTAATTCATACTTTAAATAATACTATTCTCCATAGCATTTCATGAAAACATTTTATGAAAAAAAAACAAACTAATTTAAAATCTTCGTAAACAAACCATTTGACATTTAAATCATATAAACCAACAACTACTCTCCAAATAAAGAATGTGGGTCTCAAGGACCTTAATCTTTTCTTTTATGTTTGTTTGCAGTTTAATGACCCCTTTTCATAATAAAATAGGTAGAGACCCGCGCCTTGCGTGGTGTGAACTAAAAATTATATCAACAAAAAACATAATTTTCCTTAAATATAATCTCTAAATTTAAAATGTTAAATGCTAAAACTAAAATACATGGATAAATATGTGCAA